TTTTAAAGAAAAAATCGTTTTATTGATTTTCAGTTAAATGTAAACTTTTTACGCTTAAATTGTTGATTAGTTGCAGATTTGTTAGGTGCGTAGGAGCTTTTTTTTTCCATTATTTTATTGAGTTTCATTAGCTCACTTTACTTGATTTCTTGTTGACTTGTATGAGTTGTATAAGTCAAACGTTATTAAATATTGAATAATTTTGTGTGATTCATAAATTGAATTTGCCAAATTGGGTTTGTTTTTGCCAATTTATTCATAAATTGGTTATAAAATTTGAAAAAAAAAACATAAAAAATAAAGATGGAAAAATGTAAAAAATAAAATAAAAATTACAATACATTGAAAAGAAGGGAAATGCTATGGTCCCGAAACTATTCCGTCGGGGTTTTAAATCGTTAGATTAATGTAACAGCCGGGAATAATTGATTTAACGGTTATAAACTTCGACGGAATGGTACCGGGACGTAGCATCTCTTAGGTGCAGAATTCTCAAATCTATTTGTCTTTATTTTATTTTTTTTTTGATCGGTAAATGTAAATTATATATCAAAATTGTAGTTCAAACAACCGATAACGGCAAACAAAAGCGCACTATTTACTCGCGAATGAAAAGGCAACAAGGACAACCACATGTCACTTGCATTTTGGTAATCACTTACCTTAAGTCCATCCTAAATTACAAACTCCGACGAAATGGTTCCGTAACAGAACATAGCATCTCTTTGTAAATAAATGTCCCTCCTAGGTGCAGAATTCTCAAATCTATTTGTCTTTATGTAATTGTATGTTTCAATTATTTGTTGGATTTTGGTACTTCAGGATATAATCCTATATGTCATTTTTTTCAATCTTTGTAGTGGTTGTATAGATTTTTATAATTAAGAATTTTAAAATCATAAAATGTTTCACTAACTGATATTGTAATTGTAGATGCATAAAATTTGTGGTCAATTAAATGTCGCCACGTAAAAATTAATTTATTAAAAATCAAGTTATATTTTCTATTCATATTTTAGGAATTTTCATAAATTTAATTCCTAAATTTAAATAGTTAATTAACTGATATTTTAATATTTTAATTCTTGTCCAATCAAATAATGCCAAGTGTCAAATCTTATTTCTTGGTAAATAAATCACATGTCTTCTAGAAGATCTTGGAGATCTAAGTAGATCTAAAAAAACTTAAGTGAATCATTGTAGACCAATCAAATCGCGCCATACGATTCTTGAATTTGGCAGGATTCTCTCATACACGTATAAATAGGGGCTCTCCTTAAATAAAATAAAAAAAAAAACACCTCATAATTCATATTCAAGTTCAAGAGCTCTAGAGAATTCTCTCGACGAGATTCAAGTGTTCTTGAAGATTCAAAGCTGTTCTTGAATCTTCGAAGGAAGATATAAGCACATTCAAGCTCAAAATTGACATTTAATCCGGAAACAAGCTGTCAAGCCTCTGAATTACGTTAATATTCAAATGTTCTTGAAGATTCAAAGGCGTTGTTGAGGATTCGAAGTAAGATTCAAGTGCGTTCAACCTCAAGACTGACGTTGAATCTGGAAACAAGCTGCGAAGCATCCGAATACGTTACTAAACTCGAAACCGGCGTGGATAAGATTCAAGATTTACTTTGCGGTGAAGACCAATGATTAATGTTCTTCGTGTCCTTGGGATATTACGACGTTTAATTCGGGATAAAGTTTTCAAGCCCTCAGATTAACCTTAATTCAAGTCAAATCAAGTCAAGGAGAAGATCAAGCCGAATATTTTGCTCCAAGACTTAAAAGAATCGTGAGAAGAATCGAAGAAATAATAGAGATTGTAATCCGCTATATTGATTTGATTCGAGAAATCCATTTGAATAATATTTTTCGTGTTTTAAAGTTCAAGACACGAAATTTGTTGTTACGGTATTTTTTTTTAAAGTTAATAACATTGTATTTGTTATCCATTTTTATATATGATATATGAAATTAAACTTATAAACGAACTTTAATTGACATTCATATTGGTTATATAAAATAATTAATATATTTATTTATAATAATAATTTAATTACCTTTTAATACTAATTGAAAAATAATAAAATTATTTTTGGTAGAACAATGGAATGGGAATTTATTACATAATTACCTAAAGTTGACCACTTTAGATTTCTTTATTCGACAGGTGCAGTTTTTGCATCAGCCTACTCATGAACCTGACTCATGAACCTGACACTCACCACTCACCATCCAACTGGACTCCATAAATACATGTGTCAATAAATACATACCTGATGATTCTTAATAAATTCATAAATCATAATTTATTTTTTATAATAATTACTTGGAAGATTTATTTGGTAGAAATTATATACATATATCATAGTTTTTAAACCCGGCCCGGTAATCGACCCGGGCAGGTCTTCGGGTCACCGGGTCACCGGTTCAACCGCCGGGTCACCGGGTCAATTGCTGAACCGGATAATTA